CACAATCAAAAGGAAATGGGTCTATCATATTCAAGGGGGAAAATCAAATTTCGAACAAATATTCCAAAGTAGAATCCTTTATATTAACACTTATAAAAAATGACAAGGTCTACTTTGAAAAAGGCTTTCCTCAAGGTTCGCCAGTTATTCCATCGTTATTTAACATCTATATGGATGAAATAGTTGAGAAGCCTGAATGTTTGATTTTAAAATAAGAAACGCAGATGATATTATTTTCCTAACTTGCGAGAGAAATATTAACACGTTGCTATTAAAATTAGAAGAACATTCATTAATATGAAACCTGAAGATAAACAAAAGGAAATGTGGTATGTAACTTATCAAACATAATATCTAGATTGATGATACCATTATTCATCCTATAACAGAAAAATATAGATCTCTTGGAATAAAGGTTAATCAAAAGGGAACATTGAAAGCCCACTATCAATTACTTAAGAATAAAATCAATTTTATTAAATCTAAACTCATGTGTTTAACAAAGAATATGAGTATCAAATAAAGGATGGCAATGTAATATTTTTAGATTGAACCACATTGCTCTACTGTTCAGTTAGTTAGTCCTTTGCAAAAAAAAGGAATACTCAAAAAAATTATTTTGAAGAGAAATAAATTTTCAAATAATTTACTAGATTACCATTAAACCCTCCTGACAAAGCTTTAGAACTAATGCTTTTAGAAAATCCCTTAGTTGTAAAGAATAACATAGCTGAAACCATCATTCAATAGTAGGCAATTAATATCAAACAATACAATCTATGTTAAAAATCCCAAAAATATGAAATTCACCTAATAACCTCTACCTATTAATCAAACTGGCATGGAAATGATGCCAAAATCATAATAAACGACTGTAATACAAGCACATACTAAAGGATCATTCGCTCCTTACTTCAGATGATGCAATTCAATCTTCGTCCTAAGACATATAAGAAAAAGTCGAAACTGAATCATGTCTTGAAAATCCAAAAACTCAAAACAATATATCCCAGCAACTAGAATGATTTTAATTTTTATTTTCATATTCTCTTCAAGGGCATAATAATAATAATATTATTAATAAGAATAGTAAATATCAACCAATCCTCACTTAAAATATTGGATTTAATCTATATGTATAGACTTGTAATACATATATACTTTCATGTAGAAGTTGTCCAAACATTAGAGATGGATTCCCATAGACAGTAGCTGCGAATCAAATATCTATTCTAAAAATCAAATTTTTGCAAAGTAGATTTATTGATGGATGCTATAATACACTATGAAAGACTGCCTACTAATCTTAATAATTTAATATTATAATATATAGGTATCCCCATAGCAAATTTTTGAGTTTGGAACGAAATCTGAATTACTTAAATTTGACTCTGATTCCTTTTGCTTAAATTTAATATATTAAAGAAAGTAAGTAAATTTTTATAAATAAATTCTGATTTACTAAATGTCAAATATTAAATTATTATAGAAGTAGAGTCTAATTCAAATTCACATTTCATTCTTATTCTTTTTCTAGCATAAGTAAATACTAGACCTTTCTCTTACAAGATTATGGCTACAGATTTAGGATTAGGAAATAACTCTGCATTTATACACTAAAAGTGTTTTTCTTTTAAATTTCAAATAATTCAAAATTTCTGCTATTTAAACTGTTCAGTTTGACTAGATTTATTTCAAATCTATTTGTGAAATTAAATTATTTCTCATTTGTTTAAAAGAAATATAGAATTTTTATTGGCTTTAATTATTTATTCAAATAACCATTCTCTCTTATTCTCAATAGTAATTATAAATTTAACTTATATACCTTTCTACCTCTCTTACTGTCTATTTTAGGAACAATAATTATTAATTATTATTATTGATGATTTTATCAGTATTTATGTAAATTATGAGTGCATTTTAAGAAATACTAAGCAATAATCTTTAGATTATTAATAAGTCTTATGAAAATAATTATCAGCATTTAATTTCGTGCTCATCTTATAATATTAGACAAGTCTTAAGTGGATTGACATAGGTGTTTGTTAGCCTTATCCTTTATATTATAATAGGAGTTTAGAATAGGTTTTTTTAGAAAGTTGGAATTATAGAAAAAAGTAAAAATTCTATACCCAAGATTCATAATTAATATTGGAGAATTCAAAAATCTAAATTCATAAGCATCTCGTTAGAATTAAAAATAAATTATAAAAATGATAGAAAAAGAAGAAGAACTTCATTGTTCTTTAAACATAAACTTCCAATCCTTATGGTTGCTTTTGATACAACTTTAAAAAGGAATGAGAGACTTTATGCTGTTGATGCATGGAAAATCTTGGATCAAAAGCGCAACTAATGAGTTTCAAAAAAGTTGTAGAGATTCTAGTGGAAAATCAAAAATTGAAGTATGAATCGGTTGAGAATGTGATAATGATCAGCCTCAAAAGAATTGAAAAACTCTAACAAAATCTTGTTTCATTAAAATTTGAAATTAGTTAATAATTAGATTAATTAATCAGAAATGTTGATGAATAGAAAAATCATATAATACAAACTGGATAATAAAATGTTGCCTATAGGTTTTATGATGAATTGGATAATCTAGTTAAGGAAAAAAGATAGGAAATATCAATGAAACACAGGAGATTACAAGAGAGCAAATATTAATAAGATAAATTATGAAATTATGATATAGACATAAAAGGATGTGATTTAGGTTGGCAAAAAATAGAAATAATAGGTATTAACTATGTCTCAATCAGTGTAATTAAATTTAATTGATAATCAATTTTAATAGAATGGATNAGTAAATTTTTATAAATAAATTCTGATTTACTAAATGTCAAATATTAAATTATTATAGAAGTAGAGTCTAATTCAAATTCACATTTCATTCTTATTCTTTTTCTAGCATAAGTAAATACTAGACCTTTCTCTTACAAGATTATGGCTACAGATTTAGGATTAGGAAATAACTCTGCATTTATACACTAAAAGTGTTTTTCTTTTAAATTTCAAATAATTCAAAATTTCTGCTATTTAAACTGTTCAGTTTGACTAGATTTATTTCAAATCTATTTGTGAAATTAAATTATTTCTCATTTGTTTAAAAGAAATATAGAATTTTTATTGGCTTTAATTATTTATTCAAATAACCATTCTCTCTTATTCTCAATAGTAATTATAAATTTAACTTATATACCTTTCTACCTCTCTTACTGTCTATTTTAGGAACAATAATTATTAATTATTATTATTGATGATTTTATCAGTATTTATGTAAATTATGAGTGCATTTTAAGAAATACTAAGCAATAATCTTTAGATTATTAATAAGTCTTATGAAAATAATTATCAGCATTTAATTTCGTGCTCATCTTATAATATTAGACAAGTCTTAAGTGGATTGACATAGGTGTTTGTTAGCCTTATCCTTTATATTATAATAGGAGTTTAGAATAGGTTTTTTTAGAAAGTTGGAATTATAGAAAAAAGTAAAAATTCTATACCCAAGATTCATAATTAATATTGGAGAATTCAAAAATCTAAATTCATAAGCATCTCGTTAGAATTAAAAATAAATTATAAAAATGATAGAAAAAGAAGAAGAACTTCATTGTTCTTTAAACATAAACTTCCAATCCTTATGGTTGCTTTTGATACAACTTTAAAAAGGAATGAGAGACTTTATGCTGTTGATGCATGGAAAATCTTGGATCAAAAGCGCAACTAATGAGTTTCAAAAAAGTTGTAGAGATTCTAGTGGAAAATCAAAAATTGAAGTATGAATCGGTTGAGAATGTGATAATGATCAGCCTCAAAAGAATTGAAAAACTCTAACAAAATCTTGTTTCATTAAAATTTGAAATTAGTTAATAATTAGATTAATTAATCAGAAATGTTGATGAATAGAAAAATCATATAATACAAACTGGATAATAAAATGTTGCCTATAGGTTTTATGATGAATTGGATAATCTAGTTAAGGAAAAAAGATAGGAAATATCAATGAAACACAGGAGATTACAAGAGAGCAAATATTAATAAGATAAATTATGAAATTATGATATAGACATAAAAGGATGTGATTTAGGTTGGCAAAAAATAGAAATAATAGGTATTAACTATGTCTCAATCAGTGTAATTAAATTTAATTGATAATCAATTTTAATAGAATGGATAGTGTTAAGCAATTATGTTTAATAACAAATGTAGATGCAGAATGAGCAATCTCTTCTCCTATAGCAAGCAAGTGCAATTTTAAAATAATAATCATAATTTTTTGTGGTACTCTCAATATTTACTCCAGTCCAAAAAATTATTAAAATCTATCTTTATAATTTCCTCTATTTGGTTGCATCAATATTCTCTAGATAATTTAATATGTTATATAATGGCTTTAATATTTATGATGTAAAAATTAATTGATGTTAATGTATCTTATTATATGAATATCATTAAAATTTCATCAAGTCTCTTTTCTACGAATTATCTTGTTTTCCCATTTCCCAACTCTCTCACCATTGTGATATTAACCATTAGAAACTACTTAGTTAAACCATTAAAATTCATCTGACAACTCAATCCAATTACCTATTTTGCTCCCTTCACATTTTTCATCATATTCTCCACCACCACTAAATATTAATGCAGATTTTATATAATATTATTTACATCAATTTTAGATTCCTTGCTACCCATTCCCAATGCCAAATATCCCATCTGCCCACTTTTTTATCATTTTTATATTAACCATTAAAAGTTACCCAATAATGTGAATCAAACTTTTCAGACAAATCTATCCATCTACCATGCTTTGTCCCTTCCCCTCGTTCATCATATAATCCTCCTCCACTAAATTAAATAATAAGTTAAACATTTATTTCCAAGTTGATGGAGTTAAATTATCTTTATAGAGAATATCCCAAAGCCCAATTTTTTTCCCATTTTCGTATTCGCCTTAATAAATAACTTCAGTCTTATTAATTAAATCGTTCTGCCATTCAATCCATTTACCATTCTTAATTTCATCCCCTTGATCATCATAAAATCCACCTCCACTATAAATAAATTAATATATTATCAATTTAACATTTAATAGTATGGAAAATCCCGATAAACTCGATGCAAAATATTCCATCTACCAACCTTTTTACCATTTTTATATTCACCTTTGAAAATGACATTATGAGAATAATCAAATCCTTCCCATAACTCAATCCAATAACCAACCTTAACTTCTTCACCCTTTTTTTCATATATTCCTCCACCACTAAATAAATATAAATATTGTTAAATTCCTTTTTACATATATTGATTACTTACAACACCTCCAGAAACATCAACATCTCTAAAGAAAATATCCCACTAACCAACTTTTTTTCCATTTCTATATTTTCCTTTCCAAGTGATTTCTTAACCATAACAAAATGTATGAGATGGCAAAGTCCATTTACCTAATTTTTTCCCTTTTCCACCTTTGTCATATGACCCACCACCACTGTGCATATCTAAGTATAGATTAATTTACATAAAATTAACTGAATTCTTAAAACAGTTTTTATAATAAATATTCCATCTGCCAACTTTAATTCCATTATTGAATTCTCCGTAATAAATTATATTAAAAAAAAATTAAAGTTGACTCTATAGTTCTACCCATTGACCTTGCTTTATCTGATTACATTTATCGCCATATGATCCCCCACCGCTAAACATAGTAGGTAACTGTAATTTACATCAATTTAAATTGATAACTTGAATCCTCCCTAAACATAATATCCCATCTCCCAACTTTTTTCCCATTTTAATAGTCACCAATAAATGTTAATTAAAAATCATGTTGAAATCCATTTGACAGCTCAATCCATTTACCCTATTTTAAAGGAAAATCTTGCTTATTAAATAAACCACCACCACTAAAAATTTAATTACATAATCTTAATGGTCTTTTTACATCGAAAGGTTTTTTTTTCCTCTGAAATCCAACAACAAAATATCCCATCTACCTACCTTTTTACCATTTTAATATTGACCATCGTAAATTACTGAAGAATCTTTTTAGAAATCATCCGAAAGCTCTATCCATCTACCCTACTTTATTTGATTACATTTATCATCAAATGATCCGCCACCACTAGGCAAATTAGAAACATTATTTTACATCATTTCAAATTGATGATTTGAATGCTCTCTAAACATAACATCCCATCTACCAACTTTTTTACCATTTTTATATTCACCAATATATATTACTTAAGAATGATTATCAAATCCCTCTGACAGTTCAATCCATTTACCAAGTTTAAATCCCTCACATATTAAATAATATGATCCACCTCCGCTAAATATAATACATAATAATTTTACACTAACTAAAATGGATAATTGGAATCATCCCTAAACATAATATCCCAACGACCAACTTTTTTTCCGCTTTTATACTGCCCATTGTATGTGACCTAGCAATTATTATAAAATCCGTCAAATAGCTCTATCCATTTACCTATTTTAATCCCTTAGCCTAGTTCATCATAGGATCCACCCCCGCTAAATAGAATTTAGATACATAAGAAATCTTACATTAATTTAAATGTATAATTTGAATGCTCCCTATACATAATATCCCATCTACCAACTTTTTTCCCATTTTTACATTCGCCATTATAAGTTATTTAAGAATAAACATTAAATTCATCTGACAGCTCGATCTAAGGACCTACTTAAATACCTTTTCTTTATTCATCATATGATTCGCTACCACTAATTATCAACTTTAAATTCAGTTTTACATCAATTCTGGCTTATTATTTATAGGGTTGATCCAACTAATATCCCATCTACCAAATTTCTTAGAACTTTAGTACTCCCCATGATAAAAAACCTAGGAGCAATTCTGAAATCCTTTTTATAGTTCTTTCCAATGTCCTTTTTTTTCCCCAAACTAACAATACTCACCACCGCCTCTTTAATTAAGAATTATAATTACATCTCTTTATTTTAATAGACATATTTCCATCTTCCTTTTCTTAAGCCATTCTCATACTCTCCTATTTCATAAACTTAAGCTTTAATATGTAATACTCAAAAATAATACATAATGTACAAAATGTCGATAATATTTCTACCCAATTACCCTCCTTTCTACCATCATCATTGTAATGCCCTCCTACATCTGTCAAAGCCTCTCCGTCCCATGTAGCCATCCAATATCCAACCCTCTAATTATTATTTCCGTAACATCCTTTCCAATATAAATAATTGATTTATTCAAAATTTGTCATCTATTACTACCCTTCATAATTTTTATCTCTAAATAATGATACCAACTTATACATTCTCAATATTGACCCATTGTAAACATAAGTTATTTCTTATTGATTTACTATAGTATAGAGGTTTCTGCAAATTTATTATCTGAGACTGCAAATGTTGCGCCAACCCTTAACGGTCCTTTTATTTATTTTAGTTATTTTGGCTTAAGAAAATGTAGATTGCTCTGTAATAAATTGTGATAGCATAAAAATTATTAAAATTTCACTTTTAAACAACTCAGCATATTAAGAATTTATTCAACAAAATGAAAACAGTATTCTGAAAATTAAAATTTCAAACAAATGATGATGCACAAAAATATGATGATTACTCTTCCTGTTTGCTATCGGGTATAATTGTAATATTAATATATTTATCAACAATCTATTATGAATTAGTATTATATGGTAATTTGACTTATCAAATTACTAGGAATTCATCAATAAAAAGTAAAAAATTAACTTATTGAAATTTTAATTATGAAAGGAAAGGATAGAAGATTGTAAATATCTAATGTAAGTTTCATCTTAAGACTTTATATTGTTATGCTTGGTATGCATTACTGATAATTTTGCAAGCTGTCTTTATTGATAGTAATTAAAATCACCACTTAAAAATAATGTATAAATTTTTCTATTCTACATATTTCTTATTTATGAATAGTATTTCAAAATCGAAAATATAAACAAAAATTATTTACCCTTACTTTCTAAGACACATGTTATAAATCCTACAACTAATTATTGGAAATTATGTCCTAATATTAGGAAAGCAACATAAATTCACCGTTGCTGAAATATATTGCAAAGATCAAAAAGATATCTCTTAGCACAAAACAAAACATTTTGTAAATTTTGTAAATGTATTTCACTTTTTCATAAGAAACCAAAGAGAGAAAATTTGCTCATGAAGACCTATATTTCCTTTATATAAATAATTGATTATAATTTCTTGAAAATATGCGAAGAATTTTTTTTTGAGTAAAACCTTTCGTAATGGTAGTTTCATTTTATAAATTTATTTTAGGTTGTTTATTTATAGCCATAAATTAAAGATTATTACTGAAAATAAACTATGTAATGGACTAAGTATTGTTAAAAAAAGAATATTATTGTATAATTGATATCATAAATTATATTTTTGATAAAAAATGAATCAAAAAAAAATATTTTAAAATAATTAAATCGATGATGTCAGAATTGGCGTGTTCTGAGGAACTGCCCCCTGAGCCAATCCTGCCTCCGGAGGGTCTGAGATAGGCTTAGAATGAACACGATGACATGAGAGAAGTCGATTAGAATAGGAAAAGAGTGAGAAAATGAAACTTCATTATCCCTTTTGATTTTGAATTGATAGCAAAGATTTTCCTTCATGATTTATGAACTCTTCCTCTTTTATTAATGCTCCTTGTNATACATTCTCAATATTGACCCATTGTAAACATAAGTTATTTCTTATTGATTTACTATAGTATAGAGGTTTCTGCAAATTTATTATCTGAGACTGCAAATGTTGCGCCAACCCTTAACGGTCCTTTTATTTATTTTAGTTATTTTGGCTTAAGAAAATGTAGATTGCTCTGTAATAAATTGTGATAGCATAAAAATTATTAAAATTTCACTTTTAAACAACTCAGCATATTAAGAATTTATTCAACAAAATGAAAACAGTATTCTGAAAATTAAAATTTCAAACAAATGATGATGCACAAAAATATGATGATTACTCTTCCTGTTTGCTATCGGGTATAATTGTAATATTAATATATTTATCAACAATCTATTATGAATTAGTATTATATGGTAATTTGACTTATCAAATTACTAGGAATTCATCAATAAAAAGTAAAAAATTAACTTATTGAAATTTTAATTATGAAAGGAAAGGATAGAAGATTGTAAATATCTAATGTAAGTTTCATCTTAAGACTTTATATTGTTATGCTTGGTATGCATTACTGATAATTTTGCAAGCTGTCTTTATTGATAGTAATTAAAATCACCACTTCAAAATAATATATAATGTAGTATAAATTTTTTCTATTCTACATATTTCTTATTTATGAATAGTATTTCAAAATCGAAAATATAAACAAAAATTATTTACCCTTACTTTCTAAGACACATGAGAGAAGTCGATTAGAATAGGAAAAGAGTGAGAAAATGAATCTTCATTATCCCTTTTGGTTTTGAATTGATAGCAAAGATTTTCCTTCATGATTTATGAACTCTTCCTCTTTTATTAATGCTCCTTGTATTTTTAATACAGAACTTTGAGATATCTAAATATTTTCGGATCAATCTTAACGAAATAATTATGAAAAATAATCGTATGAAGTAAAAATGATTTATAGAAAAAAAAATTAATAAGGTTTGTAAAACTCAAAATTTCAAGAAAATTACAATTAGAACTGTTACTCATTTAAAAGTAGCATCAAGACTGAACTTATTAAAATAAAAAGTCTTGACTAAAATAAATTTTTTGATTCTGGTTTAAAGAAGAAATTGATTAAATATACCTTGCTTTTTAAGACCTATGGTTTACTCTTTTAGATTGATTATCTTGAAATTTCTTAAATGAAATGATTTAACTCTGTGTTTCTACTATTTTTTTAATATTGCATAGTTTCCGATTCTATACAAAATTTTCAGTTGTTTACGAAAACTATAAAACAATATGTATTAACTCTGTAGCCAAAGCTTGTTTGATTAGCTCTCAAATTAAAATCTGTTTCAAATATAGATTAGGTTAAATTAAAGAATGCAATCTTTAATATAAAAGTATGTTCTTATTATTTGGAGGACTTTCATAATTTTCATAGTTTCAAGTTGCAAATATTTCGCCGATTTAAAAGAGTGAAATTTCTATTTCTTTAAAGAGATGAACAATATTAACCACTAAATCATTATTACAATTTGAATTCAGTGAATTATTATGGGATCAAGGGTTCAGTAAAATGGTTTTCTAATAAAAATAAAAGAGCTAAGATTAATTTTTACGATCCCAGCAACCCATTTGTGTAGCAGAAATCATTAATTAAAGGATTTTAATCTTCTAAAAACTTCAGCTTTTTGATAATTACTACCTTCTTATACCTCCGTAGGACTCCCTGCTTTATCAGATTTTTTTGTACTTAATTCTAAAGAGTAATTGATGTTAAGATCCATAAACTATGAATTTTACTTGTCAGAAAAACTAATAAATTCCATGTTAAGGTCAAAACAAAGCATCAAAATGGAAAGAACCTTACCGAACAATTTCTAATTAAAATTGTAGAATTTTCATTTTACAATTTGCTGAGATGTTCCTTGTGCTCATTTGCATAAGAATTGATCCTATCTGTATTTTTAAATAACAAATGAACAGATGAAAAATTTATTGCAAATGAGATGCTTTGAGTTGATTACAAAATTGAACTGCTAAAAATTTTAAAGAGTTACAACTAAGTTTTGGATAAACGTAAGTTGAGGTAGTTACATCTATTGGTTATTGAAGCATCACATGAAACTTATGCATTACTTCAATGAGCATAAAAAATGAAATAAAATCTTCAATAAGTCGAGTTTGTGCAAGAAGGAGAAAGTTAACAATAAAATGAAAGTTATGATAAATAAAGACTGGTGTACCAAAAACAGGTTCTGCTATTATTAATTAAATCCATGAAAAGAATAGGAAATTTTATTGGGATATGAATTTCAGTATGAATCGTAAGGTAACTGGCCTTCAGTTCTGCAAGTTGTTGCAATTCTACATAATTTTGTACACGATGAAATTCAAGTAATAAAGTGGCAAATCTATAGGCACAGTTACTGACAAAGGCATCCTCGATCAAACATTGCTCTAGACGTTCTTGCTCTTCTTTAGCTTTTAACCTTCGTGCGCTTCCTTAAGTATTTTTAAACTTTCAAAAGAGTACTGTTTTGAAAAGGCTCAGGTATTAATACTCTGTTTGTAATTAGGTTCATCAGGTTTGTTAAGAACCATTTGATGCTTTCTTTATGTATTAATTCTGTATCTACAATTCTGAAACTTATTTAGACCTTACTAGCCGTTAGCGTGCATTTTAAAATTTTTATAATCTGTCAGCAATGGATGAACCACAGTATTATACACTCATGCTGACTCTTTTCTACAGTATGGCAATCCTTTACTATTAAATGCTGTTCAGATTATGAATGGCCTTGTACACAAGTTTATATGATGATCAAAATAAGATTTTTTAGAAGGAATCCTCCCAGCATTCCAAAATGTATTGTTCCTTTTGCTGTTACATAAATTTGACTTTTATTCATTCTCTATATTGTTCCAATACAAAACAGCTGAATAGTTAGTTTTTT